CCCCCTCTTCCAGCATATGGACGGGTGCATCAATCAACTCCTGAGTCAACTCCCGTGCAATGGCCAGTGGGTCCTGCTCTGCACCTCCGGCAATGCTCAGCTTCTCTTTGGCCAAGCGGCACATGTGCTGGATTTCCGGGCGAAGGGCACTGTATGCACGGATGCGTTTCCCGTTCAAGCTCACCTCTCCTGTCAAGAGAAACTCGCACCAGACCGACAAGCAAAGGGACTTTGTTTTCAACATCGCTGACTGCGAGGATGTGCGATCCTTGTCATCAAACTCCTCCTCGAAGATGTGATTGATAGCGCACAGAATGTCGTCCGCTGCACACTTGATTCGAGACTCCTCCCGGGTGCCTCTGGCCTGAATTTCTGGCGAGAAGTTTGACGCTTCTTTCTTGCAGTAGTAGGCCTTCGGGGCAGCCGCCTGGGCCTTGAGATCATTCTTGTCGCCCTTGCTCTTGCCACCACCCTTGACCTGCTTGCTTTCCGCGCCATCTGCGCCTTCGGGTGCAGGTGGAAGCTTTGCTGGCGCCAAACCTAGGGCTTCTAGACCGTCAGCATCGTCATCTTCTCCTGGCAGTCCTTGGGGCACTTTTCCTGCTCCAGCGGACTCATTCTCGGCGCCTCCATGGTCAGAAGACGCGGACTGCTCCTTCAAGACAAGCATCGCCGTGCTCTGCGCCTGCTCAGTGCTCTCACGGATGATGTTGGCCAAGCCGGATTTGGCTTGCAGCGTGGCCTCAGTCAGTCAGACTTGCCATTGATTGCTTGGGATTTTGTTGGCTTCGGTCCTGCATGGAAAACAGCCGCACCTCGAAAAAAGAGAAAGTCCCAGGAGTCCCAGCACAGACCCGTTGCAATTGTCACCGCTATTACCCGTCTAAATTCATGGACTAATGATTCGCTGATGCTCCGTACACAGTCTACAGTGTACAGCCAGTAAGGTATAGTGTATAGCATCTAGGGCCTAGGGGCCTAGGGTTCTTCCTAAGGGTCGTGAGAGTCCGAGGGTCCTAAGAGCATTGCTAGAGAAGAAACCGCAGCAAAGCCGTAACAGCCGTAACAGTGCAGTGCTCTATTTGGTGCTACGGTGTAATGTTCAAGATGCCTTTCAACCTTTCAGCAACATCAGAAGCATCAGCAGTCAGGTGTTACTGAAGATTGTGGTGAACTTGTGGTGGTGCTGGTGGTGGTGGTGGTGGTGGTGGTGGTGCTGGTGGTGGTGGTGGTGGTGGGCGGCGGTGGCGGTGGCGGTGGCGGTGGCGGTGGCGGTGGCAGTGGCGGTGGCGGTGGCGGTGGCGGTGGCGGTGGTGGTGGTGGTGGTGGTGGCGGTGGTGGCGGTGGTGGCGGCGCTGCCGGCGCTGCTGCTGCCGCTGCTGCTGGTGGCTGGTGGTTATGGTTATGGTGGCAGCAGTGGCAGTGGTGCTGAGTGCTGGCGGTGCTGATGATTGTGGCGGCGGCAGCAGTGACTAGTAGACTAGTAGACTAGTAGACTAGTAGTCGTAATCAGTAATCGTAATCCGTAAATCAAGACTCACCTCAGCAGTAGCATGTGCATGATACTAATAGCAGCAATCGTTTCGGTTGTTGGTAGCTGTCGGTACGTGTTGGGGGTTTACGAAGAATACTGCCATGTGGTTGCCCGATTCGGACAGCAACACTCCAAGAATTCAAGAATCCAAAAAAGCACGTAAGCACGTTCAACTTTCAACAGCAACCGTCCGCAACTGCACATTCCCGCATGCTCATCAATTTGCAGAGTGCCCGCCCCGAGCTCACATATCTTGATGAAGATTAGGTTAGGGTCGCAGGTTCAAGGCTCAGGCTCAAGCACTCAAGTGACTCAAGGGATCAGACATCAAACGCAAGCAAGGGGTGCAACTGTTGATGTTTTGTTTTGGGCCTGTTCGGGCCTAGCTATATCATATCTATGTTTTGAGGGCCAACGCGGGAACTGTGTGCCACGGCGGTTGTCTACACTACACAGCACAGGGGACATACGTGCACCTGACACGCTACAGGCTACAGGCACATTGGGCGCAAGCTCTTGCAAGCACTGTACTAGCAAACGGTTACTGCGAGCTTTGGCAAGTGTTTGGGCTCCCAAGTACGACATGTTGGATAAGCGATAAGGGATAAGAGAACTACTTCAATTCACTTTTCAGCGCCACCACGAGCACCCCGCCGCCACGAACGCCATCGCCGCCGCCACCACCATTGACCGATCTCGCCGACATTTATGCTGTCTACTTTCTACTTTTCAACAAGCCCCTGCCCTCCCCTCTCCCCGGGAGGCACATCTAGTGAGTATGGCATCTACTGGCATCTACGTCTGGTGTGAATGCGGCATCTGCTGATCTACTGGCTGCAATGCTAACGCTGCCCTGCAAGCACACTAAGTTTTGCTGCGTGACAAAAAAATGAGCACTCAAGGGCCAAATGATAGCAACCTAGCAGCCTGCAATCTCTCAAAGGCCTTGCAGCTCGACATGGGAAGCACGACCAAATTGATCTTGAACATCTGTTCCTTGCCCGTCTTATTGAGCAGCCATTCGATCTTCCTCTCCGTGGCGGTGGCGCGCGTGGGAACCTGCAGCAGAACAAGGTCGAGGAATCGCGACAGGCGACAGACACACAACACGATTAACGCCGTTGCAGCATTGCCTTGCAAACAAATGATGTTACGTTACGTAGTTACGTAGGGATATGTTGGAGCTGCGCCCTAGTTCTTGGTCTCCTTGTATGGCCAGGGCCTCTGTGAGTCTGTGAAATTACCGTGTACAGTCTACAGTGTACAGGCTTACAGCCTTACGGCTTACAGTCTGTAGCTAATCATCGAGCTCGTCGCAGCGTATGCAGGATGTGAACAATTGCGCAACTGCTAACGGCTAACACCTCTCTCTACAAACCTCTGTTCCTGTATCCCTCTTTTAGCTCATGCTGTGGGCACCTGACGACTGGACAATGACTCAATTCAACCAGCTTCTGACCTCGAGCCTTTCCGTGACTTTACGGCTTTACGGTATTTACATCAAAGAAGATCAGGAAGCACTACGCAATGATAATCATGCTCAGGGACGGTTTGGCTTCTGCTTGGCTTCCGCTTGACTGAGCAACGCAACCAGTTCAGGCTACAAGTGTCATCTCGCCCGAAGGACGCAAAATGAACAACTCAACACTGCACTCAAAACCCAAGCAAGAAACCAAGAAACTTCAATGGCTTGCCATGAGCCAAGGGTTCAAGGGTCCAAGGCAAAGGTAGAGGTTGGGATTTTAATTCGAGCACTGGGGAATAAGATGCCTATGAGTCTGCAAATCTACCATGAGGACGAGGGAGACTGGTCTGATCGCCTGAATATAATACTTTGTCCAACTTGGTCAGCAAAATTCATCATTCTCCCACCAATGGCGCACAGACAACAAACAGTACGGCAACTGAGAGGACACGAAGAAGAATGAACATTTGAGCAGGATCGTATGTCGTATGGCGTATTATTCCACCCCAAAAAAAACCAATTATGCCTATAGACGCCGCCAATGGCCAATGTCCTGAAATGTCCTGTCGCGTGTCACATCATGTCTCACCCTCCAGACACCGCACCCAGGGTTACAGGGTTACATCAAATGGGATCTCGCTAGACGTAGTAAAGACTGAAGCGTCCACACAGACTGAAGCAATAAAGCCGTGGCCGAGAGGCGGTGAACTTCAGCATTTCGAAAAGCAAAGCCTGAACATCCTCCTCGCGAACAGGCGAACAGGCAAAGTCTAACCACGAACAGTCTCATGACGGACTCACGCCATCAACTCAACCAACGCTTCTAAGTCAGTCAGTAGTAAACGCCTACTTGACTCTCATGTAAACACATTTTTTACATGACATGACTCCTGACTGTGATAATGCTTCAGCCCATTGTGCACGGTGCAGGTCACGGCATGCATCAGCGTCAAGCACTGCCACTTGTCCATCTGATCATGCAAGAAGTTGCCGCATCTGTTGAGCCAAGCATTCCACTCGTCAAGCATTCCCAGGGCTTGGAGACGGTGCGCGAAGCTCAGCGCATGGGTGAAGGGGTCCCAGCTCGTGAAGGTTTTCTCCGCCAAAACGTGGGCCTGCAGCAATCAAAGCGATAGCGATAGCCAATGATGGCGGATGATTTGGCAAGTCATGCAATGCTGCAATGTTCAAAAGTCTTACCAGAAACAGTGCTACACTGCCACATTGCTACGCTACGGCTACATCGGACCACTTATCCACTACACGTCAGACACGTGTCACGTGACACGCAAACGAAAAAAAAAGTTGCTCTGCACTGCCCTCTACAAGTTTGAGATTTTGCTCGCGATGGCCGCCGATGGCCAGATGCTGATTCCCGGGCCCCCCTGGTCAGGATCGGCCGATCCACCCTGAACCTACTAAGCGTCCCAGAGCGAGACCCTGAACCCGGACCCCAGATGCTAAAGACAAAATTGTGTATGATTTAGAATTTCTCGTGGCTGGTGATGAACAGACTCAACAAAACAACGTGCCCAGAATCTAGAGGAAGGCTTTTTGCTGACAGATCACTCCGTGGCCCTACACACACATGGAACGCCACAACTTACCACAACATATGAAAGTGTTCAGTCACTGATTCATGTGGCCTCAGTCGGGGAATGACCACCCAACGCTCAGGCTCAGCGCCTAAGGGCCTAAGGAGCCTAAGGGTCTAAGCTTCATTAGCTCAATCAAATGGCAAATGGACCATGCTAGCTACTCAGCCCAGCTACTCAACTACATGAGTCAAGGAGTCAAGAACCAACCATGAGCCAGCACTGCTAGGATTGCTGGGCTGCGTTCTCACGTTCTAGCAGGAATTATGATGTTGCTTCGTTGCCAGCTGCTGTTTTGGCCTGTTAAATTGTCGATTTATGCGTTTAGCACACCTGCCTACATTACTATAGGGTTCAGGGTTTATAAATTGAATTTTTAGGGTTGGCCTACAATCAACACGGAAAATCATTGATCATTGATTGACTCATTGATCCAACGAATGTGTTTCCCGCGATCCGCTTTCCCTTGTCTTCCCACCCTCATGGTCACCCTCCCCGCTATCCCTGAAAACGCCCAAAAGGAGGTGGCCTCATAGGCTTTCACGTAGCCCGGGTTGTTGGTGGACATGCCGCTGTGGTCGCAGGAAGCCCTCCAAGACGCTTCCAGCATTAGGGCAGTCTTGCAAACCTCAATGACCGAGGCTCCTGATCCCTTGTGGTACCGATTACGGACGCTCGACATGAATCGCAGCAAGAACTCCGGCGTCCATGATGCAAGGATCCGAACCCGCTTCAGGCCACGGTTCCGAACGGACTCCACCTGAGGGTTGGTTGGGTCTTCTGCATCGGCCCTGTAAAAAGCCGCGGCCCGGTGATTGTACGAAAGAGCATAAACCGGCATGCGCTTCTCCTCGTCACCCCAGACCATCCAAGCCTCACCTGTGCGGCGCATACTTGTCAATCCAAGAAAATGAGCTGCAACAACTGCAACAACATGTATAATGCACACGGTAATGTGCAACAGGCTGCAACAGAGAACGCAACGTTTAAGTGGGGGGCCTCTTGTATCGGGAAGGACTTCTGGGAAGGACTTAATATTAACGTGCCTTTCTCCACGCCTGGATACCTGGCTCACTCTTGCACGGTCTACGGCTACCGGTCTACGTGTCTACATCAATCTACCTCAAACAGCTTCTGTGACTCTTGCTTCCCGCTATCTGCTCGACACCCCCGGGGACCCCTGGTCTCTGTCTATCAACTCTGTCAACCTATTCAAACAATCAACTATCAATCTGCTTCTCTGCTCATCTATGTCAATTTCGTCCCTCTCTCTCTCTCTCTCTCTTTCTCTCTCTCTCTCTCTCTCTCTCCCTGCACACCATAGGGCAGTGTTGGCCAGCGTTGGTCGAAAGACAGATTCATTCAACCAACCGTGAGAAAGTCAGGGAAAGTCAAAGGCTATCAACCACCAGCAATGTTGCCAAGCCCTCAAGCAAAGCTTCGGGTGAATCAGTGAATCAGCAGTGGCCGGAGGCCGTGAACCCGGGTAAACCCTTAACCCTTGGCCCTAAACCCTAAAGTCGAACCGCGCGGTTAAGGATTCGGGTTTAGGGTTTAGGTCCCCGTGGGCCCCGTGGGGTCTCGGGATAATGGGCTAATGGCTCGAGCTAATGGCTGTATTGACTGTATTGAATACTACAACATACTGGGATACTGGATACTGGACCCTTGCTGTGACTTGCTGTGTGATTGCAGCACATTGCAGCACGGAATGTGGCATGTGGGCCCTCTGCCCCTCTGCTTATTGTTTATCTAGATCTTACACCATGTCACGTCACTGTCTGGAGTTTGTTCATTATGCCTATGGTCTCGCCGATCCACCAATTCAACAACAACACAGTCAACACACAGCTGAAAGCAATGGCCTGCAACTGACTGCGGTTGTCCTTCTTGGAGCAAACGGTGCTTGTACTCTTCCACCGTCTGTTCTTGCAAATCCCTGTTCAACCTGGAAGCTTCAATGCTTCTACGCTTTGAGCCGTCTGCGCTGTCCTGGTACCATTGCAAATCAGCACCTCCATTGTCATCGGCAAACCATGCCAGCGACAATTCAATGAGTTGCCCGATGCCTTGGCCCTCCCCGAAGAGGCTCTCCATTGATGTGACATGCCCATTCATGATGGAATCTTTCACATCTGCTGGCACTCTAGTCCACTGGCCCGGAGTGAAAGGGGTCAGCAGTCCAATCGCCTGCACTTGCGCTGGCTTCTCAAAGAACTTCTCACCCTGTCTGCTCCTGGACCTAGGGACGGACCCAAAGGCAGGCAAGTTGAGACTTGCGAAGTCCCTTGGCGCCTGTGCCGGTGCCACCTTTGCCTTGGCAGCGGTTACAGCAGGAGTCCTGGATCTCTCACGGCCCCTGCCAGCGCCATTGGAACTGGAAACCATCTCTACGTGCACTCTCCGGGTGCAAGGTGAATCACCTCCAAATTCTACACTAGAGAAGTCTTGCACGGAGCCGGGGGCTACGCACACAGCCAAGCATCACTGATCAGTCACGGTGTCTATGCCACCTGTCACATGTCACGTGTTTGTGGATTCCGTCTTCCGTGGATTCCTGCAGCGGTAGCACACTGACACTAGCCAGACTGTCTGCATGTCAGAAAGATGCAACTTGAAACCAAAGTCAGACTGCCAACCCTAGCAGCAAGGTCGGATCTGATTTGAAGCACCGGCACAAGGCGCCTGCGCCCAACTTCTTTTCACCCGAACTGGCCCCAACGTTCAAGTTCCTGCCTATGTCTGCCTGCTGGGTCAGGCGAACAGCAAACCCGCAAACTGGAATGCTTGTGTTGCGCAGCCTGCTTGCGACTCCCTAGATCGTCTGAAGTTTTGGGCTACCGTTTACGAGGCTATAGTTATGGCTTTCTGGCTTAGAGCTTAGAATGATTTTTCCAGGGTAGTTGCTGCATAGTTGTTATACGGCCATAGCCTATAAGCCTGTACGCCCATATGGCTACTCTCCTAGGAAGTGGCAGGCTCGGCTACAATACACACGCAAGCCTGCGAGCTGCCAACTCGCAAAAACACCTTCGTATTCCTGGCTCAGCTGCTGGCTGCTGCTCATGTGTGCCTTTGCTGCCTTTGCCTAGACTTGGATACAAAAAAACTCCCATGCTGCCTGCGCAGAGCCACAGCCAGGTGAACCATGAATGTTCAAGAAAGTCAGAAAGTCTTCTAGCACTTGCGTTGCACATTGCACCGCGCGCACCGCGCTCACTCTACAATCACCACTCCAACTGATGGTCAATGATCTAGGTCCGGGCCTAGATTTAAGCTTGGACAAGGTCAGTTAGAAGTTCGGATTCTAGCGAAGTGTGGTTCTTCTTACGATGCGGGATGCAGCAAATGTTTGCGGGACATGCGCAGTAAAGAGTGCCAAAATGGCAGAATGGGAACATAAAGCTGTTGCGGCTTGCCCACAACTGCTGCTAATTCCGCACTTGGTAACTTCCGTGATCCTGCAAGACTTACTTGACTCATCGCCATACCTCATGCGTTGTAAACATGGGTGCTGGGCCTTTGTGTCGCAAGCGCCGCTGACCCTCCTTCTGGTAGTCTTTGAACTTGCGTTTGAACTTGCTCATGAAACTGATCAGAGGTGGCACCGGACGTGGGATCAGTGCTATGTATCCGTGGATTTGTGTCAATTGGAGGACTGCCAGGTTCATTGAGTTCCCAGCCTGTTCCCCAACTCGACGAGCTTGGCGTGGTATCATCTTGTGGAATGAGCATAGCACGTCACGCGCAGGACGCACTGCTGGGTGTAGAGGGAACCCTTGCACGCACAGCCTGAACTTTAGGCTTAGTTCGGCATTATGTCTGGGCGGCAACTTTTTGGGGCGGACCTGACCTTTCAACCTTGGGGAATTGTAGGCAAGTTGGAATTCGGGCAATCGCTCGAGCATAATGCAACCCGGAATCCGAATCCTACGCCGCTACCTCCTTATGCAGACATAATACCCGTAATAATCATACACGGAACCTTACACACATGACTGCATGGCTGTTACAGGCCGTAACATTACCGAATTACAGCCCGTTACATGTCGCATGCTAAGAAGTATGTGGGCTCAGGGGAAGAGCAGAGGCAAAGAGAGGCAGAGCATGTTCAGTTGCCAGTCACACGTCACATCACATCACATCATCGCAGTAGTCACACCATCCACAGCATCAGCATCACCAATGGCATCCATCATCAATATCAATCGACAACTGCACAGACTGACAGACTGGCAGCAAGCAAAAACCAACCGTGACACCCACAGAAGCTGAAAGTTCAATTTTCTGAGACTCCAAAAAGCTGCTAACTGCTTATGTCTTGGGCAGCGTTCATGCTCGAACTTCAGAACATGCCTCTCAGCATGTTGCGGAGGTAGGAAATGGAAACAAGCAAGCAGACGAGCAAAGTCCAAACAGCAGGAGATAGCAGCACACTCAACCGTTCACTCATGCACCTTCAAATTCCTTCAAGCGCTAACGCCATATGCAAGCCAAGTAACAACTCCGTGGCGCTCAACCATCTAGGCGGATGAGGTCTTTGTGAAAATATGAGACCACAGTTCCTGATCAATGCATGCAAGTATTGCGCGTTGCTGTGCTGGGCGTGAACATCCGCAACCTGATTCAATTGCCAAGCTTGATCAGGCCAGCGCCATCGGTAATCAAGCATGTTGTCAAGTTCTGTCTTGGACAGAGCACGAACAAATGGACCTCCAAGTTGCACTTCTGGGCACAAGTCCAAGGTTGCCCCGTTCTCAGCTTCATCTGCCAATTCATCTGCATAATCTCCTACACCCACGCCTTGGCATGCTTCGATGCTGGCATCAAGAGGATCTGTCGCTTTCAGCGCACGTTTACCATGCCACATGCTGCTCGGCCTGTTCTGTGCCCATGCCAGCTCAGTGTTCAGCTCGTCCGGCAGAACACCATCAGCACCCTTTGTTTCATGCATCCAAAAGAACTCCTCCCAAGTGTAGGCGACAGCCCTTGCAAAGCGCTTGCAAAAGCTGCTGAGAGGCGACAACTGCGCGAGGATCTTCTGGCGGTGACGCCTCAAAAGAAGGCTTAGGACTGGGGGATTGTATGTGCTACGCTAGGCACTTCGTTAACGTAACTGTTACAATGGTTCCAGCTGTTGCCAGGCTTCGGCCCTCCGGTTGTACGGTCTATTCAGTCTACCCTACAGTCCGAGTCTACGATAGCTACCTTCCAGGGTCATGGAGTCATGGGGTCATAGATTCCTGGAACGCGGCTTCTGCCGCAACACTGTCTTCAGGCCTTCAGGCTTTAGACTCAATTGGGGAGGAGAATATTATCAGATTGTCATTGTCCCAACATGGTCAGAATGGGGCCATTGGGTAAATCGGCACCAGTATGCCAAAACAAACCGCATTCAACTAGCATTCAACCCACCGCTCAACCCTCTCCGAAATACATCTAAAAACCACTTCTGTGAGGTTCTATGGGTCACCCCATTATGGGTCTATGGGTGGAGGATAAACTGATAAATGGATAAACCTCGGCAACAAAAACTATACACCCGACAGTTCTGAAGAGACTCTCGCTTGTCGACTCGTCGACTTGTTGACTTGCCACTATTGCTCATGGACTGTGAAGGGCTCGGGCTCTAGTTTTGGGTTTAGGGGTTTAGGGTCTAGGGTTGGTCTGGGGCTTAGGGCCAGAGTATTCAGAATCCATGACTCCATGCGCCACGCCAGCCACGAGCCAGCAGCACTACATAATATAAAAATACATACACATACCTACCAACAACTTAACAACAAAACACTGTCTGTCAAGCATGGAAGTACTGACATGTTTGCTCGTGGCGAGACTTTACCTCAACCATTTACGACGACTCATTCATGTTCCCGTAGCAGAAGCAAGTTGCTACCAAGTTCATGTTGTCACAGTTGTGACCTGTAAATGCCGCCATGAAACAACTTGACGTACAGCCTGCGGCGGCTCACCGGCATCCCGTAAAATAGGGGATCCAAGATTTCTTGATCAATGAAATAAGCCTGGCTCATGAACCTGCCGATCAGCTCCGCAACCGGGAAGCTTTCAACATTCTCCTGAACAACCTCCGCCTCTTCCATTTCAAGGCGAAGCGCCATGAAACAGATCTGGTAGATGATGGTTACATCCTGCGTGCGAAGCTTCTTTCCTTGTGAGGAGTGCCCGGTGCAACAAGTCCCTGCCGTGTGGCGGAAAGTAGGCTTCAGACTGCACATCTTCCTAAGATCAACGGCGGCCAATGGGATCATCTTGCTTCTGACGATTGAGACGACAACATGTCCGACATGGCTACTGCATACTAGGCTACATACTGACATACTCATTGACACATGATTTTCAAACATTCCAGCATTGTTAGAGAGGCAGCTTCGAAACGACGGCAAACCGGAAAGGAACTGCTGCCTCTAATCTCAAACAGAAATACAGCAGCTCAACATGGGCCTCCGCCACACACACACAAGACAAGAAATATTTTTGCGCACGCACATGGATCTGACCTCTGTCTTTGCACGAACACACGGGAGTAGATAACTAGATAACTTGATAACACACGCCTACCTCCTAGCATGTTGCTTTCATGTGCACCATACCAGCGCCGCACGTCAGTGATCGGCCATGCAATTGACGCAAGATACTCTCGAGTTTGAGGCATACGTGCGGCAACACCACCCACAGACCCACAGCGTGCTCATGTCGCATGTCACAGCTTTGCAGTCGAGTTGCGCGTGTCTCAAACAGTACGCCGATCGCTTGACCAACTTCTTCTGCTCCAACAAAGGGGCCAAAGTTTCCATAGCCAGCGCAGGATTCTTTCGCAGGCCCGCCACCAAGGGCGCAACCTCCTCCCTGAAGAAGCCGCAAATGTCGCCAAACACGCAGGCATCATCGTCTAACGCCAAAAGTTCAGCCTGGCAGCTGGAGTCCCACTCCACCACGTGGAGCACCTTTGGCTCGCAAACCTTTCTTTCGAGTCGCTGTTCTACAGCACGATGCAGCATCTTGCGAGCGCACATCGGAGCTTCCACTCCGCTGAAACTAGTGCCATCTGCTTCACCCTGATCCATCCTGTCGGCAATAAGCTCGATCGCGGAATCGTA